GGCGGGGCCCGGGCTGTGGGGGCTCCCCGCTGCCGCGGGTGGAAGGCCGTGCCTCCGCTCTCCCGTCTCAAGCACTGTCCGTCCCCTGCCTCTCTCGTTGCCAGCAGCGCCTGGAGAGGGTTTCAGCCGACCAGCCAGTGAGCAGATGGCACAGAGCCCTTCTCTGCCATGGCTTTCAGCACCTGCAGGAAAGGAGAAGTGGCTGGAGTGAACTGGGACCAGGTCAGCCAAGGGGGCGCTGGGGCTTCTCCTCTGCCTGGGGCCAGTGGGACCAGGCGTGCTCCTGTTGTTACAGAATCACAGAATAATTATCGCTGGAAGGGACTTTCAGAGAACTTCTAGTCCAACCCCCTTCCAAGGCAGGATCACCAAAATCAGGTTACACAGGAACTTCTCCAGATGGGTTTTGAATGTCTCCAGAGGGAGATTCCATGACATCCCTGGGCAGCTGTTCCAGTGTTCAGCCACCCTCAACATAAAGTTCTTCATAATATTGAGGTGGAATTTCTTGTGGGTTTTTGATTTTCTATGACCACTGCTCCTCATCCTGTTGCTGCACTACTGAAAAGAGATTGACACATCCTCTTGGCATCAGCCTTTGAGATATTTTAGTTGAGATCTCCTCTCAGTCTTTTCTAGATTAAGCAGGCCCAGCTCCTGCAGACTGTCCTCATAAGAGAGATGCTCCAGATTCCTCCACTGTCTTTGTTGCCCTTTGCTGGAACCCCTCCACTGGCTCCTTGTCTTTCCACCCTGTTCCCTCTCAGGGTGCTGTGCCCAGAGCCGCACTAAATGTGCAGATACAGCAGCTTGTGGATCCTGCTGCCTACATGGACAGAAGCCAGTGTGCAAACCCTGCCTGTGGGAGGTTCATGTGCATGGGACAGACACAGCCCCTCTGTCACAGCTGCCCAGCAGGCAGTGCTGTGCACAGGGGCCAGTCCTGTGCAAACACAGAACTGCTGCTCCAGTCTGCATGGCCCCAGCTGGTATCCACATAAAAAAAGAAAGCAGAGCTGCATGGCCAGACCAAGCCATGCCTTGCCCATGTCATTCACCAACTGCTCTTCTCAAGCTTCAGAAGTATGGACTCTGCCCCCAAATTAAATCCCAGGCATCTACTGATCACAGAAGCTGAGGTTTGGTACCAAAGAACTGCAGAGTGATACCATTCATTGAATACAATTCAGAGTAAGATGTATTTATCTAGTTTGTTTGCAAGTGTCTCACTGAATAACCTTGAGCCCACTGCAGAAACTTGCTGAAGCTTGTATTTGACTTTCTTTAATCTCCTGGCCATGCCCATGCTTTTCTACTGGGCTGTTTTGATGCACATCTCATGACGTCTGATTCCAGATGCAGAATTACCCAGGTCCCAGAAAGCAGACCTTGGAGCACTGACAAAGCATGGGTGGTGCCCCATCTCCCCCTGGGCTCTGAGCAGGCAGCAGCAGAGCCTGGCTGCCCTCCGTGCTCAGTTTTTCCCTCATTTTCAGCTTCCTTGGGCACTGGTGCAGTGGCACAGACCTGCCCTCACCTGAACAACCTGGGCAGAGACTCAGCTGATTTATCTTTGTGTGTACTCTGTAGACATCAATATCTGCTTCAGGCATCCAGAAAGAGCTGTTTTCAGGGCACAGTTCATCTGATCTATACTAGATGTGAGATGTTAATAAATCACCCCCAGTGTCTCTTTCTCCCCTGTGACAACATGGGGAGCTTGCAGGGACTAGTTCAGACAAGGCATGTGCAGATGGAGCCCAGTGGGGGCTGAACCTGTGTTCAGCCTTTCAGCTGGAGCTTTGCAAAGGGCCTGATGTGGCTGGGGCTGTCAGACAACTAACCAGCTGGGACATGTGCAATATGCAGCTGTGGCTGCTTGCTGTTAAAGCCTTACTTATATTACAGTGTTGCAATCTGGCTCTCATAGGATAACCGAGAAGCCAGATTCTTTGCGCAGGAGGAGGAGGATTTCTCCCCTTGTCTGACCCTCCTTCCCTGTGGGGATCTGAGCACCCTCTCCTTCTCCTAGTGAGCAGTCACACAGTGGCAGCCTCCTGGGCAGACATTCTCCATCTCTGCAGCTGAAGTTGTTCTCATGTGTAGGTTTCTTTCAGATCATGAAGAAATGCATTATTGGCACTTTTATATTCCTTGATATAAGAGAAGTTACATTGCCAGAAGCTGAGACTTCTGATGTTTATTGCAAGTGCTATTTATAATACCAGCATGAAAATGGAGCCTTTGAAGAAAAGCACAAGACCCCAGTCAGGAAAAGTGACCTGTGCTCTTCCCTAATCACCCTTGAAGCTTTCAGAGCAATGCCAATCCACAGATCTGGAAGCACTTCAGAGATGTGTAATAGGCAGAGACACAGCAATCAAAAGCTGTGGCAGAATTAGCACTGATTTCTGTTGACTTCAGAAAAAATTATTGCATAACACATAAGAGGCTGTAGGTCAGGAACTGTTGCCCCCCAGTCAGTCTGCTTGAACCACCAGGTGCCTTTCTTCCTCTTCTAGTCTCAGCTTATCAGTGTCATCAGTCTAAAATAAATGGCACCAAAGTTCACACCTTGTATCTGTGTTCACAGAGGCTAACAGAGCTGTTGAAGACTAGAGAAGCTGTTCTCCTCATCTAGTCTGACCCTCTACAGCACACAGCAGCAGTTCTTAACTTCTGAAAGCTTCAAATGATGGAAAGGGCTCATGTTCTTAGCTAATTGTTCCAATTATCAAATGCTTTTATTGTGTAGAGCTGCACTTAATCTTTGCTCTCAGTCCATCTAGTGGCAGTTCTAGACACTGACTCTGTGTTTTCAAAAGACTTCTGAATTTAAAAAGCACAAAAGCTCCTCTGACAATAAGAAGAGGTTTCTAACGTTTAAAGCTGTACTGCCTAGTGTATTATAATCTCTATTTTATGAAAAAATATATGTTGCTTTTATATTAATAGTATGTTTTCATGTATTGTTTACAATTGGTACAATAAGTAACAAGTGTACACCTGGATCAGTCAGTTCTGCCTTCCCTGCTTTTGTCCTACCAAAGACAAGCCAGAGATATGAGTGGATGTGCTTTGGTTCAATGAGACCAAGAATTCATTATTGGTTCCTTCACAGAGAGGAACACCAATAGTAGTAGGTGCAGCTGATAAGAAAATGGTGCTGCTTTAGCATAAAGTTCATACAAAACCTTGTTTTTCCTTGATTTTGTGACTCCTAAGCAAGGGAAGTAATCCTCTGCATGTCCAAAATAAGATTTTATAGGAAAGATCAAGATGAAGAATGAGTTGGAACTGGAGATCAGAATTTCACATATGGAAGCAACAGTGTAAGGAAGGGTGAAGCTGTGCTTTGTGGTCAGCACACTTGTTTCCTCATGCAGAGAGTTGCATGGGACTCACAGGATACTTTACCTTGCTTAAACATGCCTTCCCCCCACCCTCCGATGCTGAGTACACCAGCTAAACCCACCTCAACTGGGTGCAGGCATTCTGGGCAGTGTTAGTGCTTGGATCTGGCATCTCTTATATCCATGGTTCCTCTTTGCTCAGCTGTCATTTTTTCTGAGACAGGAGTATGAGAGCACCATGACAAGAGCAGTTGGTTTTCACCCAGCTGTTGCCCAGCTGTGGGAGAGCATGGCACCAGCAGTGCCATGACACTGTGTTTGTGTATATGGAGCTCAGAGCCTGCTGTGGTACCAGGTTAAGCTGCTGTTAGGGCTTTTTTCCTAAGAAGGAAGGAAAGAAGTTTGTGCAGTTCAGCAGCAGGAACAGTAGTAAAGAAAGACAAGTATTCATCTGAGTATTTTCCAGTTTCCTGGATGAAACAACAGCCTGTTTCTCCCTTTCCTCAAAAAAAAAATTATTATTCATCCCTTAATCACTGAAGTAGAATGAGAATCATCTAGGAAGCAAAGCAGCTGTTCTAGAGAAATGCCCAGGAAAGTCAATACAAAAAGCGTGTGTGTTTTCCTGTCATGAAAGTAATGCAGTTAACTTCTTCAGGTAAGAAAATTTAATGTCTGGAGGTGCCAGGTGTGCCTATGGGTAGTTTGGTGTCAGAGTGCTAGGAGTCTCTGCTAAGAAACTGCAGTTTCTTTATGTCACTGGAAACTCACCTGGTTATAAATTGAATGTGCTGTATTTACAGCTAAAAAAATACAAACAATGGTGGGTTGGAACACTGAATGTGTGGCTGCCCCTGTTGGTGCCAGAAGATCAAACAATGTTATGACAACTGCTGTGGACACAGTAAAGTGGTAACATGCTCAGAGAGTATAAATCACTCTTTCCTGTCTGTATCACTGTGGTGTTCATTACACACTGGGGTCCTGATTGTGCAATGAAACGGCATTTGGCCGAAGATGATTTGTATTTGTCAGGGAAGTTGCTCCTGAGCCAAGCCACTCTTCTGGAGCACAGAAAAGAGTTACAGCACCATGACAGGTGCTTTTGTGAAGTCAGAGAAATTCTGTGGATTTCTCCATCCAGATCCTTTGTTGTGTGACAAAAACAGTGTATGTGAGAGACTGAATAAAATCTTCATTGACTGCCCCTGCTCAACTTAAATCAAAATTTTCTTCTGCCACCTGATATCACTCCCTTGCTGTCAGAAAACTTTGCAATCAGGAAAGTAAATAAACCAAGACATAGAGTAATTTATAATTATTTTTATTCAGGTTAAAATAATTTTATAAAATCTTGTTGAGTTTGTTTTATGTCAGGTTTTTAGATAGCACTTACATTATACATGCTCACTCTCAAAAAAGATTATTTCACCCCATGTGTTTACTGTCACTATTCTTTTGAGTATATTCCACTTGATTCTGTAAAGCACTAAGTGTGCCAGAGGAAATACCAAAGGTGAAGATATTGAATGCTCTTAGTGTTACAAAAGATAAATAAGCTGAAAGTGTTGACAGCCTGAGATACCACAAGAAGCTTTGGGTTTTCTCTACTCCAGAACTGCTTTCAAGCCGTGGTCTTTTCTACAGCAAGATGGGAGGGCAAGGAAGGGTTGAAATGAAATACTGAATGAAAAGAAAATATTTTTAACTTTTACCAGCAAACATTTCTACCCTGGTGTGCTTTTCACTCATTCAGTTGCTCAGCAGGGACAGGAGATCCCATTTATTGTTGAGAAAGCACATCTGTGTATGCTGCCATTCCCAAAGGCAATCAGAGGATGTGACCATGCCTGCCAGAGGTGCAGACTT